CATTTTTGACAGGCATAAACAAATGTCTGATGAATACTTTGGTAAACTTTTGGCTGCCCCAAGAATTGTGTTCCAGGAAAAGATGCCTGTTGTTTGTTCGTAGAAGCTGTATTTTTCAAGTTAGAAATGTTTGCATACCATCCCTATTGCTCAGATGGTAAATCTTTCCTTCCCACAGCCTCGAAACTTTAATAGATTGTCACAGCATCTTTAGATAAATTGATGGGTCCCAGTAAACATTTTAACAACTTTATGTCAAATTTTGACAAATAAGCCTTTATAAACTAAGTTGGGAGAATTATATTTACAGGATACTTTGCTTGTTACTTAGCACGGCAGAGATTATGATAAAATGCAATTATATTTTTCATTTCTTTTTTTCCCCTCAAGTTTTTTTTTACTGTTTCATCCCACATTTGCCTGCATTTATGCCACATGGACTGTTCTGCATTCCTTAAACCATTGTGTTCTTTTTCCTATTTACATTGTGGACAAGTACAGTATTTGTTTTTATGGCAAAAGCTTTTTTAAATAAGCAAGGCTGTTATTTGAGACCTGAGTCACCTCGGCTGTGATTGTGAAGGCACTGAATGAAATATAGACAGCTTCTTTACCAGTTTGACAAGCAAAAATGTTTCCATAAATTATTGGTTAGCTCCTATGACATACCAGCGACAAAATTAACCACGATGACAAATCATTTTAGGAAGAAAACATTCCAATGCCTCTGAATTTTTTTTGCTGTCAACAATCACCTCAAGTTTATTTACGAGACTACTCAGGCCTGAACAAGCAGATATAATTCTGATTCTTATTATTTCGCCTACATAAACAAGGTGGGATGAAATTCATCTTATTTTATTCATAGGGCTGTTGGTGGTGAATCAGTGATCAGTTTTTTTAGACTCTAATTTTTAACCTGCACAGTATCCTAAATCACTTGTTTCTCTAGAGATAAAAGTAAGGGGTGGAAGGCATGTGCATAGTTGAGTCATTCTGAAGCTAAGAGCAAATTTAGTTGTTTGTGTTTTGTATCAAAGTCTTTTTGACTTTGATTATGACCTAATCCAGGCATGGGCCGTATGAGGCCATTCAGATGATGTGCTTAATGTTGGCTAGGGCCCATGGACGTTAAAATGGCATTTGGATAAAAGCACATTCTCTATCCCAATTTGTCCTTCAAACCTAAAGCAGAATAGAAATGAAATCACTGGCTTCATTCAGACAACAGGTGTTGTGTGCACTTTTCCCCTTGCTCACTATAATTTGTAAACCTTTTCAAACAGACTGTAAGGCATTTAAAAAGAAGTATTGATGTAATCCCTTTTTACTGCTGTCAACAGTTGAGTGAGATTATTGCTTATAGCCTATATCAGGGGTGGGCAATTAATTTCTATAAGGGGGCCACATGAAAAATCTGAACTGTGTTCGGGGGCCGAACCAACTTTACGTAAAAATAAAATCAAACAGTGATGTTATGATTGTTTTTATTTTAAACTTGTTAATCTTCACAAATATTAAAGAGGTTTTTTGCAGTATGTTAAAGATAAGTGTAGCAGAACCCAAAAGATGATGTCATTCCTGCATGTCAATCAGAGGATAGAGCAGGAGGGGCGAAGTCAGAATGACAGAAAGTGAGAAGAGACAGTTCAGGGGAGTTGGAATGAGATAGGGATAGAGAGAAGTAGGGACAAGAAGATGTGGAGCGAGTGCTAGGGTTTAGGAGTAGATAAAAAGGGGTTAAGAAAGGAAATTGAAAGAAAAACATATTGAACAAGCAGGAATGAACCCATAAGCATAACATGAAGAATATTGGTTGAAAACCTACAATTGTATTGAATACAAATGATTGAACACCTGATTTATTATACATGAACACATGAAACAGTTGTATTTGATTCTTCTTATACTTTGTTCAATAATAAAAGAATATTTAATTGAAAACCCCTGATTCCTAAGTTCTATGAGCAGCTCCTGTGTGTGTGTGGGAATTGTAGTGGTATTAATACCTGGTGGCAGCATAAAAGGGCGGAGGGCGAGTTTACCTTTGTGGGGCCCAGGGAAATAAGGGACCACAAGGGGGATCGCCACAATAAGCAACTGATCAACTTTAGACAAAAATCTATAAATTATTTTGATGTTCAAAACTATCCATGGGCTGGACAGGAGCGGCTCGCAGACCGTATGAGGCCCTCAAGCCGCACTTTGCCCATGTCTGGCCTACATGGAGCTATATCTAACTATCTAGTTACTATGTGAAAAGAAAAAACTATACAATCCATGTTCAGAAACAGAGACAATATGTTTACTAGACCATGAAAATAGCACAAACATCAGGTGTTTCAAGTTGTGTCTTGCATCAGGCTGGCCATTGTGGAACTTGCGGGGCAGAACAAAAATCTGAAAATCTTCCTGGATGGAAGTTGGAAACTGGAGAAACTGCATTCTAGTTTAAGTTCAAAGATGGAGACCGCAAATGGAAATAAGCAGTCTGAAGTGTATTTACAGCATAGGGTTTCACCTCAGTAGTTAATTGTTTTTCCTGTCTCTTAAGGGAAAAGGATGCCCGTCATGATGTGAATCCCCCAGTGCCCTATACTGAAGCCCATGCCTTCTTGCGTTGGCTGTGTATAGGAGCCCACAGAAATATGTTTTATAAGCTTATATCCACATATAAACTAGAAATAGAATTTGGTTTCAGGTAACTTCTGTGCCTAGTGTATTATTACATTTAAAATATTCTTTCGAGGACAGAGGATGTTGGAGCTCTTGGTGTAGTGCCATCTGTGAGTGAAAGGCAATTTTCTTGTCATGGTTGTAGATCCTGCACTGGATGGCTGTTTGGCTTTTTTCTCTGACGTATGAACATCCAGCCAAGATGACTTTTGGATTCTTCTGGATCTTCCCCACTCTTGCCACATGCCCAGCTCCCCAGTGGGCCAGACTGATGAAAAGTCATGCAGGACACGCACACGCACCCACACATCCATTTATGCTACTTCAGTGGTCCAATCTATCATCCACCCATTTTTTGTTACATGGGGGGTTTGGGGATGTAGGAATTGGATCCCCCCCCCCCGAGATGAAGCATGCAGTGGAATCTCTAACAGAAGCTAGGAGAATTATGTGAAGGTGACAAATATGGGTGCAGTGGATTGACTGGATTTTATTCAGATTGTTTCACCTAACTTGTATAGGATCAGGCTGTTGATGTTGAGTATTCAGTATAGTGAACTATGTGTAAACTAGAAAGTGATCCTCTTTTGCTGCCTATTCCCGTGTTCAAAGGCTAATGGTTTAGATATCAAGCCATGATACAATGTATATACTAGTGTATTAAAGCAGGGGTCCCCAACTTTTTTCGCCTTGCAGACTGGCGGGGGAAGGCGGGGCACCCCCGTGCTCGTGCACATGTGCAAACAAGTGCTCTCTCGCATGCACTTGTGCACATATGGTGGTGCAATGCTTGTTCACATGTGCAAACAGCATGGCACTTGCATGGGTGCACTGGAGCATGTGCATGCACAAATCAGCTGTGAGTGTGGGGGTGGGGCAGGAGGTCTGTCTCTGCGGCCCGGTCCAGCTCAGGCCATGGACCAGCACTGGGCCGCAGACCAGGGGTTGGGGACCTCTGCATTAAAGAGACCTGTGTGTTATACTAGAAGCTCTTAACGACTTCAAATATTTAAAGTGGTGAGTTCAAACAATGCAGGAAGTAACTCTATTGTAAAACTTCTAGACAATGCATAGGTAGGATACAAGTCTTATTAAGCAATTAAATAATTTGTTGGCAGTCACTCAAGCTGCGTCTCCATACAAATAACTTTACTATTGAGAATACTTCTCTTTTCTTTTGGATGCATGAAAGTTATGTAAATGTGAATACATCTTCCTATCTGCATTAGGTCTTATTGGTGAGAGAGAGGGGACAGAAAGCAAGCTGTATGGCAGGTTTTCTCTTAACATTACACAGAACGAGCATCTGTGCAATGCTTAGAAATACATACTACACACAGAAGGTCTTGGGCTCAGCCACTGGCATCTGCCATCCAAAGGAACTTAGGAAATGGCTGGAAAATATCTCTGCCTTGGCACTGCCAGTCTGACTAGACAATATGGGCAAGAAGTGCCATTCAGTGTACAGCAACTTCATCGCTCTATTCAGGGAAGGGTTAATTTGAACATGTGAACTGGAAGTGCTTTAAACTTTTTCCCCACCCCATTGCTGTCTCTATAGGAAAAAAGTTGGTACAAAGAGGGAAGCGTACATGTAGAGAGACTCTTTTCCATGTGGAGAAGTCACTTTGATGAAGATGGGGACTAGAAGGCTTTTCTCATTTCCATCTTACAGTTAATCCTTTTTGAACACCTGAGTAGGACTTGCATGTTAGGGGACTTAAGGAATTGTTAGGAATTGGGATGTGGTGGCGCTGATAAGGGACGTGGTGGCGCTGCAGGCTAAACCACAGAAGCCTCTGCTGCAGGGTCAGAAGACCAAGCAGTCGTAAGATCGAATCCATGTGGCAGAGTGAGTGCCCGTCGCTTGTCCCAGCTCCCGCCAACCTAGCGGTTCGAAAGCATGCAAATGCAAGTAGATTAATAGGGACCACCTTGGTGGGAAGGTAACAGCGTTCCGTGTCTAAGTCGCACTGGCCATGTGACCACGGAAGATTGTCTTCGGACAAACGTTGCCTCTATGGCTTGGAAACGGGGATGAGCACCGCCCCCTAGAGTCGAACACGACTGGACAAAAATTGTCAAGGGGAACCTTTACCTTTACTTTTACCTAGGAATTGTGACCAAAATCCATTTACAAGCGCTGCACATGGACACATTTCAACCATGCAGTGGGATGCTAAGCCTGTAACCTAATGAGGCTAATTCTAGCAAATATAAGTACAGTTTTATGTCTATTCCTCAAATCTTGCTAAATATAACTGTTTGTTACATGGGTGGCAGAGGGGAAAAACACACCGAATTATTAATTTGTGTAATATTTATTGATATTGAATCCACATGGTACCAGCACAACAATTCAAAGGAGTATGAATTGTACATTTTTTATAAATACAAATAAAAAGAAGCAAAATGCTAGTAGTGAAGCTAAACAAATAGTAGGTTAGTAAATCACATTTGAGAAAAAATTTGGTAAGTGAATAATACAACATACTTGACTAGAAGTTGATAGTAGGGCAGTTTCATACAGATCGTGTATGACAAAATATGTAAGAAATTCCTGTAACTGAGATTGTAGCCATCTGCAACAGTTTGCATAGAAAAGTAACTTCTGTGGCAGAAGTTCTTAATAGCCAATAAAACCTGGTTTGTTTACTTAACAATGAGATGCAAAGCAATACATGTATAACAGTAATGCAAAATATATGGTGTGATACATAATACAAAACTTATTTTAAAAAAGTACTGTACTTGAATAACTGAGTTCAGATAAAGAATCATATTTTTATTATAAATAAAGTACTATAAACGTGCTTCATATAAGGAATACAGTGTTTTCCTTTTGTAGCAAAGTACTCTTGTACCATCAAAACCACTTCTTTGTCAGTGATCTTCTACTTCATCCTAATTAAAATGAGTTAATTTTTTAATCCAGTCTGGGTGAAGCCCAACAAAACTGGTTTGTATTCTAGAAAATCAACATTTTTTACCAACTTCACAAGGTCCCAGCCATGGGCAGGTTATTGTTCATGCTGCAGTAAAGCAAGAACCCAAAAATGTAACATCTAGTACACATGCATACAGTGTTTAAAATGTTAACACCATTTCCTCAACATTCTGCAGCCCCCCCATATCTACCCAGCTATTCTCTATAGTATGTGCTTATTATACCCATATTGCAGACTTACTCCTTCCCCCACTTACTCTATACTCTTAATTATCCACTCTTCTGTTAATTAGAGGTCAATCAAATCTCCAGTATTTCTTTTAAAAAGTATCCAGATAACCATGGAATTTCAGAGAGATGAAGTGCGAAGTTTTCAAACGTCATCCCCTGAGAAAGGTCTCACCTTCTGCCCACGTTACATCCCACTGTTACAAACAGAAAGCTGTAAAATAATTCCATTGTACTGTCCATATTTTAAATTATTTTATGGTCAGTTTCCCCTGGCAGTACATTTATACGTCAGCCACTCCTTAATTGGCAAAAGTCAAATGAAGCCTTCAGGTATTAAAACTCCCTGCCCATAACAAGCACCCTTGATGCAGGAATAGAAAGCCATTCATAGTGAAACATTTCAGATAGATTTATCATTTTCCATCTTGTTTTATTCCATCAGTATTGCACATTTTCACTGTCACTATAAGAGTCGCATTGCTGATAAACTCGCAGTTGTGTGGTAGCCCAGTAAAATGGCTAGCATTATTGATAGCACTTACAGGTTGCAAAGGCACTTGGTGAGACGTTCTGCAGTGTGCTTGCTTTTGAAAAAATTACATTCACTTCAGCATTTGGCATTTGTGAATGCAACTGTTCAAAACAGCACTATCCACAAAGGAAAAAGAACTGGTTGTGGTGAAGGTGATGTTTGTGTGCATGGGCTGTACATTTCTACTGAACAATCAGTACCTATTCTTAATGTGTTTCACTCAGTAAGAAATATGTGATGAAGGTGTTTGTTATCTTTTGCACACACAGGTGTCTGCCGTTCACATAAAGTGGCATAAGTTATCATTGGTCGAGACAATGGCTTTCAGTGTTTTCACCTTAAAAGAAAATGTAAGCGCTGATAACTAAGGTTTACAAATCATCGCTTTCTACCAATCCAGATTGCAGAGTCAGATGCGCTGGGTTTGCTTCTGGCTGAAACGCAGCTTTGATGTCTAGTCCTTGGTCAGAAAGTGCCGCATATCGACTAGCTGAGGGACGCACTTTCTTTGGCTTGGTGGTCTGGGGCTGTTGTTGCCACTGAGCTGCAGAAGGCGAGAGAGAGAAAAGAGAACCGGCTCACTCTTGCAGCAGAAATGCAACAATTTCTTAGTAGCCACAAAGTGACTGATGCATTTTTATCCCCCAGGGGTGGTGGGATAAAAAGAAAGACCTTTATTCTGGAAAGTCAAAAATCTGTTACTGAAGCTGAAGCAAACAATATATATGCTCATGCAGGTTGCACTGAACTTCACGGAGATGGGTGTGTTGTGGGGTGGCCAGTAAATCCACTAACCAGAAGAGGTATTAAAGTGCTCTGTAGTCTTCTGTACCATCACAGGTGTCTTTTCTCTCAGTGGCCATCCTCTACTTTACTCCAGCCCCAAATACCTCTTTGCTTCTTACCTCTTACCCTCACCCGTTTATGCTCTATTTCTGTCCACCCTTCTTGTCTCTACTCCTTTGTGTGGAACATGAAACCATTAAAAACACAATTCACTTTCAACAGTTCAAACACTCAAGGCCTTTTAAATCAGAAATCCAGTATAATCCTTGTTTCCTTTTATTTTATTTTATTTATTTAAAATATTATTACCCGACTTCTCTCCTTAAAAAGGGCCCAAAGCGGCTTACATCATTAAGAAACAGTATTTAACTCTAACAAAGGTGAATATAAAAATTCAAAACGATCAAACAGACACCATATGAAAAAACACAAGCAACACCAAAACACATTCAAAGCAGTAAGGTAAAACAATCCTTAAATTTAGCTTATTTGACTTATATGCAGAATACATCATGCGAAAGGCAGGACTGGGTGAATCCCAAGCTGAAATTAAGATTGCCAAGAGATATAGCAACAACCCCAGATATGCAGATGATATCACTCTGATGGCAGAAAGTGAGGAGGAATGAAAGAGGAATGAAAGAACCTCGTAATGAGGATAAGGAGGAGAGCACAGAAAATGGCCTGAAGCTCAACATCCAAAAAACTAAGATCATGGCCACCGGACCCATCACCCCCTGGGAAACAGAAGGGGGAGATACGGAGGCAGTGACAGATTTTACTTTCCTTACTTGGGCTCCATGATCATTGCAGATGGAGACAGCAGCCATTAAATTAAAAGACGGCTGCTTCCTGGGAGGAAAGCGACGAGAAATCTAGACAGCATCTTAAAAAGCAGAGACCTCGCCTTGCCAACAAAGGTCCGCATAGTCAGATCTATGGTTTTTCCAATAGCGATGTATGGAAGTGAGAGCTGGACCATAAAGAAGGCTGACTGCCGAAGAATTGATGTTTTTGAATTGTGGTGTTGGAGGAGGCTTTTGAGAGTCCCCTGGACTGCAAGGAGAACAAACGTATCCATTTTGAAGGAAATCAACCCTGAGTGCTCACTGGAATGACAGATCCTGAAGCTGAGGCTCCAGTACTTTGGCCATCTCATGAGAAGAAAAGACTCTCTGGAAAAGACCCTGATGTTGGAAAGTGTGAAGGCAAGAGGAGAAGGGGACGACAGAGGACAAGATGGTTGGACAGTGTCACCGAAGCTACCAACATGAATTTGACCCAACTCGGGGAGGCAGTGGAAGACAGGAGGGCCTGGCGTGCTCTGGTCCATGGGGTGACGAAGAGTAAGACACGACTTAACAACTAAACAACAAAAAACCAATCCATCAAAAAACCCCACTCAGGCAGTCAGTCTTCACCTGCTTGCAGAAGGACACTAAGGATGGGGCTAGCCTAACCTCCTTGGGGAGGGAGTTCCAAAGTCTGGAAGCAGCAACAGAGAGCGCCCTCTCCTGTATACACCATATTTTTAAAATGCACCCTTAAAGTATCTTGGGGACAAATAAAATGTCCAAATCACTCCTGGGGAAATTCAATTCAGAAGAGATCTGTGAATCATGGCTGGATGGTTACAACAGACTGGATAAATGGACACCAAGTCCACTACACACGTTTGAACCTAAGAAATGTACAAACCCTGTAAAGAATGACATAGTCCCCGCCCCCAATTCCATTACTTAGTGGAATTCTTCATGTGAAAATACTCCCACAGAATGACTGGTACAGAGCACTCCCAGCAGGTACTGGGACTAACCCTAGAGGTTGTAGGTGGCTGCATGTTTCACAGGTAAGGCTGAACCAAAGTGCAATAAAAGTAAGCTATAGACTGTTATTCTACAGAGAGCACATATATGTTTGGGCCAATTTACCCAAATACTAAAAGCAATCCAAAGAGTATCTTACTATAGACATCCAGCCTTGCTGTGCAGGATACTATCCCAGCCTCATTCTTTGCTGACACTGTGTACCAACCGGCGTCTTCTTTTGTAGCTCCCTGAATAAGCAGGCAGATGTAACCATGATTATCCTGGTGCATGCTAAAAGAAGGTAAAAATAAAGATTATGAGATGGGTGCATGCAAAATAATTGTAACTCAGATAAGTAAATTCCGATTCTAATGAGAAAACTAAGAATGTTTCAGTTTCTTAGTCATGGAAATAGGGAATTTGAACTTAAAATTTAAAACACGAGCCTGGTTTCTGTAGTTCTCACTAAGACTAACTACTTCAACTAGTTTCATAGTTTTTACTTATTCAACACTTAAAAGAAAACCAAAAAGTGTAACACAAAATATTAACATAACTCACTGTAAGAGAGATCCAGAAATTAACAAAGGTAGAGGAGACGAACCTGACTCTGTCAGTATTGTATGTAAGTGACTCATTTTCTTTCTTCCAGAAGATCTGAGGGTGTGGTACACCTGAAACCCGGCATTCCAGTCGCACAGGATACCCCTCAGCTACTCCTGTATTCTGGAGTTTCTCTACAAATACTGGTGGCTTATGTGCTTCCTTAGCTGTAAAGGAAAAGAGAAAGAGGATTTCTTTAGACTGAGGTAAGATATCATACTTAAGTTCCCATTGTTCTCACAAACATATGACATAGAGCAGCACACACAAAAAAGGAAGCATCCTTCATCTGCTGTTTGTGGAATGTGCTTTCCTAACACAGAAGCCTAGTTCTCCCTGGCAGTTCAGGAAAAGATACTATCTACCCACAACCATAAGGATACTGTTCAGATTTAACAGACAATGAGAACTACAGGAGGACCCCCTGTATCTGCAGAGTATTAGTTCCAAGCCGTCCCCCCCGCAAAGGCAGATACTGAAAAACATGTATAGCATACTCTATATACTGCATCTATAAGAACACAACTAAGAGCGTGATAATGCTCTGCAAGGTAGAGGGAATAACTTCAAGATGCCAGGAGACTAAGTGAGATGGCGGTGAGTTACCAATATAGCATAGTCTCTGGTTTCCTTTAGTGGCCAGTTCTGGTAATCACATCATATAAACACATATTTCTGGGGTTTTTAGTTTAATATTTTCAATATTTTCAGACCATGGATAAGTGAATTCATGGATACTGAGCCTGCAGATATAGGAGTCCTACTGTACTCAAAATTCTGGCATATTGTTCATAAGGAGCATAATTATGTATGCTTCCTGTTCACCACCACCTGGTTCCTCCCAGCAGGAGGAGTCGCTAACTAGAAAAACTACCATACAATTTTTAAGCATGCTTACAAATTGTTTCCTAAAATTTTGTTGACTCTTAAGAACTGACTTCCTGCTGTTCATTAAAAAAATATAAGAGTGTTACTAATTATGCTCCAAACCCTCAATAATCCAAAGGAGAACAGGGATAACCTCATGCGACTTTAAACATAATAATTCAAGGAGTTCAAAAATAGCAGAATAAATAGTATGACTGTGCAAGATTCCTGCATGAAAACTTTACCTGCAACGATCAGTTCCAGGCTGAATGTGTTCTGACCAGCTCGGTTCTTGGCAACACAGGTATAGATGCCAGCATCCCTCGCTGTGACTGGCTCTATGATCAGGGAATGGACGCCATTTTCACGTACAAGCATTTTGTGGGAGGCATCTGAACGTATTACTCTTCCATTCAGTTGCCAGCTGATATCTGGAGTTGGCAAGCCACTGACCTTAAACAGAAGGCAACAGAGACCTCAATGAGAAACATAGAGAGATGGGAGAAAATATACAGGCACTTGCTCCAAAACACTTTATTCTGGTCTACTAAAAGACCATACATAGATCAAAGTCTGTCACCACTTGCCAGCTATGTCTGAAAGGGGCAGAGCCGTCCAGTGGTTCAAATTCTACTTGAACAGAATTTCTTTGAATGGCATTAAACATCATAAGCCAGCAAATGAAAAGATTTCATATCTTATCCATTATCACCTCACAAATGTTGCCCTTGATTACAACCTGTTATTATCTTTTTCTCCACAGTAACTGAACAGAGCCAAGCACTGTGGAAAAATTCTTCCCTTTATAGCAGGAATGAGCTGGAAATATTTCATTGAGCTTCACATTCCATTCCAACTTTATACAATTCATCACTTGATGAATTCAGAGTACTTTGGACTAACCGTACCTCAATGAGAGATGTGTCTCATTAACAAAGTTACTGTTTAAAAAGAAAGAAAAACAGCAGCAACATCATTGTCAGAAGCTCAGGAAGGTTTCATAAGCAAACTATTTGAAGCTCCTGGTTACCTAATTCTGTAGAGGAAAAGCTCAAATGCTCTTCAGATTAGTTTGCTTTCAGTTTTGGACATCTAAGAAACTACAGTAAAGGGAATAGGAACAGGCCACTAGAAGTCCCCAACACTGTAGCCACCAAAATATTCAAAGCACCGCTGGGCTCAAGTCAACAACACTGAAAGTGAGATGTATTTTTGACTCTGCTATATGATTCTGGATAGCTCAGTGGCTTAGGCACTTGGCTGTGAAGCCAGAAGTTGGGAGTTCAACTCCCCATTGTGCCTCCTTGATAGGGGCTGGACTAATGTTCCATAGGATCCCTTTCAGCTCTGCAGTTCTAACATGATATTATTATTATTATGTTACTACTACTACTACTACTACTACTACTACTACTACTACTACTACTACTACTACTACTACTACTACCTCCCACTGAAACCAATAGGAGGGAATTAATCTATACCATTTCTAGGACTAACATTGATTCCCAGTTGGCTTGAAAACACATCCAGAGGCTTCCCAAGTTTTCTGATCCATAGTTTTTCTCAAACCATCCTGAATAAATATATATCCTGAGCACATCCTCCTCAAAACCAGAGTTTTGACACTGAGGTGGTAAAGATTAGGCATATTCCCCTACAAGTAAGATCCTATGTTAGGTATCCTCCTCTGGGGCAGCAGAGGGGTAGGTTTATTATTTTGTATGGGACCATACAACTGCATTATTTTGTTGAAAGATTTAAAACACATTTTTCCTTATTCTTGTTCTTGTGCAAACAGTTCCCACTAAAATCTGATTTCTACAGTAGTTTGCTATTACTCACCAGCACATGTGGCTCAAGTGCTGTGATCTAATAGGTTAGCATAATGTCACAAAACGTGGCACTAAGCCACTTATGCAGGCCAAGAAATTGTGCATTTCATATGAAGGCATGAGAATTAGTTGTCAGCCTATATACAGCTATTTGTTTACTTCAGATTTTTAGCTTGACCATCTTAAATGTGTTGTAAATGTGCTAAAGTCATTCATCTGAGAATTGTAGATTCAACATGATCATATATCTTTTGGCATGTCAAACAAGATAAAGGGTGAATGTCTACTAACATCAACCACTGTGAGGGAAATGCAGTTTTATTATTATCTTCAAGAATATGGAAATAGTGTTGTGACATCCTAATTTTTAGATAGACTACAAGCATTCATAGATAGTATAAAATCAAGTTGAAAGAAAAAATGGAAAGAAAGACTGTATCATACACAGCATTATGATTCTGGCATATTATACTTCTTTAAAAATAAACAGTAAACCATAAGAATTACATGTATTTCTGTGAACTTGAGTGAAGCCTCAACCTCAAGTGTTCCCTCCACCTCTTTCCTCCTGCATAGCAGGAAAGAAGAACAATAATTCACTTTCATTCAGTCTCCCCCCCCCTAATAATTCCCCTAGGAATAGGGAGCAAGCTCAGTGTTGTCTATTGGCTTATTCTTTACTGACGCTGACCCATATCCAGTTCTCTAAATGAAGAATGTTCTTAGTGCTTTTGAGGTCTTTGACAAATGTAACAAAGACTTACGAAAACAACTGAGAACTGACAAGCCACAGTAACACTAAGAGTGAATGAAGGCATGCAGAAAAAGCAAACACAATTTAAACAAAAGATTCTGAGCTTTGGTATTTACAGACTGGATTATTTTTTTTAAAACTATAAGTCCACAAATTCCTCATATAGCATGGCAAATGTCTGGGGCATTCTGAGATATATAGTGCAAAATGTTACTTTTCTGATTTATAGGTGTATTAATCAGATGTTGGAGTACACAAGTAGAGATTATCTATATTCCAATACAATATAGAATTTCTTCTTCTCTTGTTATAATTTTCATTGCCATTTTTGCAGCAGTTTCCACTGAAATCCTATACACGTGGTGAAAAGAAAGTCCCATTGGAATAGGGTACTGTCAAATTTATTCCCAAGAAAGTGGCTACATATATGATTCCAAATCTTAGGCACAGTTTGGCAAATACATTGCTTCAAAGCCACTAGAGGGAGCAAGCATTTCATTTATGGACTTTTCCTTACACAGCTGCACTGACTACGGATTTTTATGACTATTTTTAATACGACATTTTATAACATATCAGGCATCTCTGATTCACTAACCTTCAGCATCTGGATGGAGAATGTGGCCCTGAAATTCAGCCTCTAAATCTATGTAGTGATCTGATTAGCAATCAATCTGCAACACTGGTTTTATGGAATGCCTCAGTACAACAGTTTTAAAGTAAAAACGTATAATCTACTTAGGCTCCGCCATCATCAACTTATACTTCTCAAAAAAGGAACGTCTAACACAATTAGAAAACCCAACTGACAACAGTTTTAAAGTAAAAACGTATAATCTACTTCTTAGGCTCCACCATCATACTTCTCAAAAAAGGGACGTCTAACACAATTAGAAAACCCAACTAACACATGATTGCTGCTGAAAGATTAAAATAAAGCTACACATATACCTTGCAGTCCATTCTGCAAAGCTTTCCTTCTTGAACTATCAGGTCTCCTGGGGCCTGCAGGAAGTTTTAAAGTAAAAACGTATAATCTACTTCTTAGGCTCCACCATCATACTTCTCAAAAAAGGGACGTCTAACACAATTAGAAAACCCAACTAACACATGATTGCTGCTGAAAGATTAAAATAAAGCTACACATATACCTTGCAGTCCATTCTGCAAAGCTTTCCTTCTTGAACTATCAGGTCTCCTGGGGCCTGCAGGAAATGAGGTCGGAAGAAACGCTCTTGGATGGGTTCATTTTCATCCCCACTATCTCTTGATCGAGATCGAGGTCTGTTAAAAAATCAGCAAAACAAGATAAGATCAGATGAATTCAGCTTCTCCATATATACCTGAATAGACATGCACAAGACTGAGCTAAACATAATCCTAAAGTTGTAGCTCTGTGCAATGTTGCTAAGCTATTGAATTCAGCTTCTCCATATATACCTGAATATGCACAAGATTGAGCTAAACATAATCCTAAGGTTGTAGCTCTGTACAATGTTGCTAAGCTATATCTAGTAAACTTGACATACTGTTCCCAACACACTTCTATATTTGGATGGAGGAATGGTAAAACAGATTTTCCAGTTTTGGGGAATAAGCGAAATAAATAAGCAGTTTCACTCAGTTTCTCTACATACTCTTGAGTACACACAAGGAGATACTAGTGGGCTTCACTTTCTTAATGTATTCAGGCTGTGTAGAAAACCAGTGCCTGCAGAGGGCTACAGATAACATGTGGGAGAGAGTGAAAGAGAGAATGAAAAAGAACATAATTTATTTTTAGATCTGCCTGCTTAAGAATGAACAAACTGTGTGAAGGGCAAAGTCCATTTTAGCGCATTCCCTATGTGGCTTTATTACTTCTGAAGAGAGTGTGGGGTTATCATTTCAGATTGTGGATTTATAGGGTTTTTAAGAGTGACAAAGTTCGCCTATCCACCTCTCCCCTCATAGCCAAGTGTGTTCCTCTAATTGCTGGTGACTGACGTGATGATAGAAGCACCTTCATAATAGTCCTGCCTATCCATAGTGGGTTGTATCCCATAGTTCTACTCTGCATTCTGTTTCTGGAAGAAAATTTCTGATTGCAGAAAAAAGAATATGGCTTGTAGTGTCCTAGAAGAGATACACTGTGGTCCTGTCACATTAGATGAGAAATTGTGTAGAAAATGATAGCACCATTTTGAAAACACTTCCTTCCAGAGTAGGCAACCCACCCTGCAGGTGAGGAAAGGAGCAATGAAGGAAAATGCTTGGTAAACTTTGGGACTAAGGTTGGCTTTGGTTAAAGGAGTATGTCTAAATGACAGCGAGAAAGGGTGTAACTACATAAAATGTGAATGGATCTACTGTGAAGTCAAGCTTCCCCAAGCTACTTTGCTTCAACCAACCGCATATTGAGTCAGCAGAGAGAGGGGAGGAAATTGCCACTCAGCATTGTTTGCACTTTATTAACTGTTTGAATTCTCTCCACATCTGGTGCTTGTTTCCTCTTCCTTTTCGGTTTCTTTCTTCTCTCTCTCTCTTAAAAAAAGGCTTGCTGTCCTAGCTAGGTGACTAGGTGGGAAGCAAGGGATCAACAGAGAGAAAGAGAGCGAGAGAGAGAGAGCGCAAAGTAAGCTTTCAATCAGCCTTGTAACAGAGAGAAAGAGAGAGAGAGAGAGAACGCAAAGTAAGCTTTCAATCAGCCTTGTTCCAGCTTATTAAGATAGCTCTGCTTTGAAATCGGGATGGTCACAGCACAGCTACCTTTAACAAGTTGGAAACAAGGTTGACCGAAAACTTCCTCTTCTCCCTCTGCCAATTCCTTGCTCTTTTCCGCCCTCTCTTTAGTCACAACTGTCCTTGCTCTAGTCAGTGCAACAAGAGGGACGGAAGGAGGGAGGAAGGAAACCCAGGCCCGAGTATGGAGAGGAGAGGATTCAAATGACAGCCAGGTTCCTTGCTGCCCTACCTCTCTGCTGTGGCCAGCTGGAATGGCTTTCAATAGAACTGCAACAACCCCCACATTGGCTCAAATAATCACACTGCCTGAACCAGTGTAAATACATTTGTTTCCAAAAATGTTGAAGAAGCAGTGAATTGCAGAAGAAACTACAGATTGCAGGGAAACACTCTGGGCTGCTTCACATTGAGTTATACCTCATGTAGTCAACAGAAAGCAGTATAAATCAAGACTGTCCCAGAGCATTCCACATTAATTTGTCAATGCAGTCACTCCCAAAGAGGGAAAAAAGAAACCAATTAGGAGCAGGGTCTGTGTTCTAAACCAGAATCCCAAGATTTCCTAACAAGTATAAATAAAAGTATAAAAAGCATAGCAATTCGGCACAACACTCCGATTCTTCACTTCTGAGTACTGTCATGTGCTGGACTTACATTCATTTCAAACTAAAATTTGAGCTTGGTTGAGATGGATGGGATATATGCATGTACCCAAAGTAATTTCTTGGTGTTTGACGGAACACATATTTAGGGTGAGAGTGGGGAGAAGGATCTCAATTACTGCACTGGTCGATTTAATGTATTTATTTCTACCCTGCCTCTGTCCCTGTAAAGGAGAAAGGCTTGTAAAGGATGTAAAAAAAAACGTATAAAATAAAAATACAAAAATCACATCAAAAACAATTAAACATATTATATAAAAAGCAAGAGCTGTAATCCTGATGAAACAAAAAGGCATTTTAAAAAAATAAAATTCTATATAATAAGCAAGATGCAGGCCTGGAAGAACATAACTGAAGCTCCTGGTTTATGAGCCACATAAGGTTTGCTCTATTATACACACATTCAGAACCGAGTGCTGACAGAAGCCTGAAAATATATGAAGTGCCAGATGTTAGCAACACCATCGTGTTTCAATTAATTTTAGATATATTTCCTATGTACACACACCTTACCAGAAAACCAGTAAGAATATAGAATGGTTCACTTCAGTAGTCCTCTCTATAGACCAAAACTAAACCATACAGCTGGAAAAAACCCAAACATATACTGGGCACCATCCTATCAGATTTATTAAGTCCAGTTGGATTTAGAGGAACAGATTTGAGTCTATTCTGAATTCTTTAACTGAAAATGAATGGAGTTTATAAATGCTTAGCTTTTGGCTGGATCATTTCATTACTGCTTTTTTTAGTCTTACTTCATTTTATCTCTTACTTTCCTATATCATAACCAGTTATAATTTTCCTTCTCCTGACGTTTAAAAGCATAGAAACATGGATATACACTGACTGGTGTCTACTGCACAAACATAGTACTGTGAGAAAGAGTTTAATGAAAACCAGAACATAATTTCCTACAGCAAACGTCAGAATCACAGATTGGATTCTGATTTAGATAGAAGCAACTGAAGCTCCTTGATATAACAGTCCCTCCACCCCCCTGAAAACGCTATACAGAGGGCTGGTGGATCCTTCTGAATGTAAAATTATAGGTGGATACAGAGGCATCATTCCTTTAGGAGGCCTTCTGTTTACAGTAGGCTGATGCTGGATCCAAGCCCATGCATTTTTTGTGAAGTCTGCTTTACTGCAAGAACATGTAGGTGAGAAAACAGGTGGAATCACAATATTGAGTGGATTCAAGGACAATGCTGCTCAGAGACATTTTATAGTGCAAAATACCCTGCTGTGTAACTCTTCTGGTACAACAGGACTGATGTCACTGGCACTTCAGACTGCCCTTAATTAAAGTGCTTTCGGGTTGCGTGTAACTTGCAGCAATCTACCACTGCCAGTGATGTCATTGGCAGAGATGTGCAGCAGGATTTTAGCCTATAACCAACCTCACTGATTGTCATGGTAACCATGTGGAGTGCTTAAGCAATGTGAATCTTTTCTTCATTTTTTTCTTCTTCCTATTTTTAATGTTTACTACAGTGGGCCCAATGAAAACCTTGCAGCTGCACAGTGTCTGAAGCTGACCTCTACCATCCCTCATGAAATGGATCCAAGCCAATAACTGGGAAAAAAAAACCCACATTAGAAGGACTTCTGACCTTTAAGTTCCTAAATGGTTGGGAACCATGTTCTCTATAGGATTGCTCTCCTCTATATCCATCTGACGACTTTATATCCATCTGTTTTCAACACCCTTTTATGGGCATCCACAATTTCTGAAGTCAGGAAGGGTGGCACTCGAATTGTGGAACTCCTTTCAGAGCCAGACATGCTTGAGGCCTTCACCATCCACATCCTGCATTCTTCTAATAAATGTCAGATATGCTTTTACTTCTTTCTTGTTCTTTTGAAAGCTTTAACTGTATTTTAATGATTTAACTACATCCTGAGTTTATTGTTTTATTATCTGCTTTTATGTCTTTTAAAGAAATATTATTGTTTTCTTGCAAGCTACTTGAAGGTCGTAAGGTGAGGCTGAAATCCAAGAATAAATAATGACCACAGATATTGGGAAAACTGAAAAATAACATTACACTGAACAGCAAGTAGTTAATCTCAAGTCATCAACAATTTTCAAACAATATAATTTGGGTATTGAGTTTCCCTTACAGTCTACACTGTGTTTATATGTTATTATTTTATAAAAGAAGTGACTAGATCAGGATATGAGGCCAACTTTTTAGGCCCTATAAAAATATACAAGAGGATCAATCTAAACACAGAACTTCCTATGAGGAGCTGCCCATTGTATCAATAATATTGGCAGTCAAAGCAAGTTATGTCAGCACTGGAGGCAAAAGCATTCCATCATGTCTCAAAATTCGAAAAAGAGTCATAGAGGAATACAGTACCTTCTGATGTGAGGCTGGCTAGGAGGTGTTCGAGGGCTGCGTCCTCTCTGGTTGACAGCCTGGACCATGAGCCTTCCTGTACAGCTTACCCGGCCCTATGAATCATTGGAAGGAAAAAAAAAAAAAGAGAAATTCTACATTTAAAAAAAATCCTCACTGATAGAGAAAATACAATGGTTAGCCCTTGCTCTTTGTAGATTTCCATCCAATCCTTGCTTTTTGAAATGAGGGAGCATATTCAGCAGAGGTCAATTCATCAAATTTAGGGACTCAATACAGAGGCAGATGACTGTTCACCCAATGAGTATACAAACCGAATACAGGGGATGTGAGCAAAAGTAGGCAACTTGTGGCCCTCTGAATGTTTTTAGACCAACTCCGCTCTAGTCAGTTTGGTTTAGAAAGGAATACTCCAACAAGATCTGGAGAGCTACGGGTTGTGAAAACAACTACCAATGCCTACTCCGAAGTTTGGATAGCCCTTGGGCACTCCTTCCTCTCACCCAGCCATCTTCATCTTAGTCTGAACTAGAGTAATATTTAGGAAGTATGCTGAATAGCATTTGATGCTCTTTCTCCCTGCTCCTGGTGTTGTTTAGTAAAGTAGAGAGGGTGGATAAGCAAGGAGAAAACTTCCACAGTCTGAAATCAACTCAGGCATGGGGCTAGGTTAGTGCCTGAACAATTTCAACCAGCGGTACCAAGCTCCCACCAGAAATGTGGTGGTGTCTCTCACTGCAGTGAAATTTGTAGGTGAACATCAATGGCCAGAAGCTGGCACTGTAACCAAGAATAGAAACAGGGCCATGCCACACCACTGGATGATGGAACTGTAGAAGGCATTATGTACAACGGCTACTGTGGTATCACTTTTAAAGCAATCTTGCATCTACCCCAAGTTATCTCACACATTTCAGCAGATTTTGCTATATATAATCTAGGGTCTAACTGTTTTCTATGACAGATTTAAGATCTTCAAACACTAAAGGTAGCCACATCTGTGGCTTGCAGATGGTCACAGGAAACAAACCTACAACCAAAATCATTTTTAGTACTTGAACCAATAAAGCCTATCATATAACCGAGAAGCCTGTCTGATATTCAGATTGTGCAGGTGCCATCTTACAGATTCCTGCGCTGCAAAATAGCAGCTGAGAGGTAAAACCAACTCTATTGTATTGAACTAGGCTAGTAGTTAACCTCTTTAAAAGACAGAAGTACTTAAGCACAGCTATTGAAGGTCTTTCCAAATTAATAATTTAAATACATAAGGTATAAACTAGAGATGAGGGTATCGTATTTATATATGAATACCCCCGCACAGGTGGAAATAACAAGATTTCGCTGCTGATGGCAGCTCATCGGACTTTCCTATCGCCTCGTTGTCTGCAATCGATTACCCAGTTGTGGCATGGGGGTGAGATGACAAGCCTCTCTGCTAGATCAGAGAGTGGCAAATCCACTGCAGAGAAGAGCGGAATAGGAAGCCTCCATGGAGCCAGTAGCAGCAGTGAAATCGTGAATGGACAGTCCGGCCTGTTATTTCCACCTATGTGGGGATATTTGTATACGAATACCCCCATCTCTAGTATAAACCATTGTTAGGTATTTGTCACAGGGTTCACTTGCCTTCCCTCAAATCACCTCTTAAATTGGTTTAAAAAATTCCTCTCTGCACATCTAGCAGTACCTCCCTTTGCACAGCAGTAAGAATGTCATTCAGCTTGTTAGAAAAGGGCTTCTCATATCCTATAATGATTTTCTTCAGTTTTGGAAAAGAATTGGGAGACACTTGCTGGAGAAGGGTTGTAGGTCCATCACTTGTTGGTCAAAGCCTATAGCTAATGTCCTTTCACACCCTTCTCATTCTGCATCAGCCCATTTAGGTTCCAATACAATAGGAAAGTTCAATCCTGCAAAGGTACTTAGACATCAGATGTAAACCATACGCAGTCTGGAAACAGGGTTTTCATATACTTTACTCCATTACATAATTCAGAGTCAAATGTACATATTGAGCAAAGCCTCCCCCCAAAAAAACCCAACAACTTCCCTTTACACAGTGCTGTTCTGCATCTGCTTTTTTAAAGAAAGAGTAATGGTGGGCTCATTATCAACATACTTAAGCCTTCACTGAAACACCTCCTTGTTTTCATGGGCTATGCCTGAGCACATCTGTACTGTACTAGCTTTGAGGCCTACAGACCTATAGTACTTCCATTAGTTTTTAGGATTACAAAATATGCTTATTTCCATTTGATGGTGATGCAACTCTATTGGAATCTTCTGGTGCGAAAACTTTATGCATTAATCCATTGCTCTCCTAAGTCTCTAATGTACTGTGAAAAGCACAGTGGAACAATGTTAATGCCAGGAGACATAATTGTGTTTATTTGGAAATGATACTGTGGTGAGAGAATATAAATGACTGGATGAACCAAGCAAATGCTCGTCTTTGTTGCATAATAAAATAAACTTCCAGATTCATATCCAGAGAGTTCTTTGGTCATCTTCCAAAAGAAATACACAAATCTTGCATGCTTTGTCCTATAGCCAAATAGGAATTAAAGCAGAACATTTTTAATTTTAATTTTAAAGATGCATTGCTTTTAGTCATTGCTTAAGGGGAGCACATGTTTTGCATGCAGTAAGTTTATGTTCAATCTCCAGTAGGCAAGAATTATTATTATTATTATTATTATTGCCAATCAGTACAAATGGGCTACAAGAACCAATGGTAAGATGCAGTATATGGCAGCTTCCTATGTACCTCAGCTCACAATCTTTCATAGACTTACCTATGATTAAGTCTCACTGAAGTCAATAGGACTGCTTTCTGAACGGACTCTAGCACAATGCATGCGCAGAAAGTACTGGCTGGAATGCAGCCAGTGTCCTTGTCTAGTCAGTCATTTTCAGGGGTGCTCATATGGCTCCTTGGGGTCCCTGGCACATTGGAAGGGGGCCACAGACTGAAAAATGTGAAAACGGGGTTTTCTATTTGTCCATTTGTGTTGGAGAAGGGCTGGGCTAGAATATTACAGGAAGTGAAAGAAAATGAAAACTTTGTGCACCAGCACTACATTAACGTTCCTATAAATCCATTCTGTTATTTGTATTGACTGTCCAAGAGGCACATGTTCCCTGAGCGCACATGCCCTGGAACATGCAGGATAACAAAGCTCTGAGGGGACTCTCCTGCATGTCCCTTTTGGTGTTCGCTATTTGGAAATGGCTCCTCTCACAACTGTAATCCAAAAAGATCTGGAGCACTGCACTTTGCATACCGGTAGTTTCTGGTTTAAATAAACCAGACTTGTAGAAAGGTTTACTCTGGTTTGTTCACTTTGTTGTTTAGTCGTTCAGTCGTGTCCGACTCTTTGTGACCCCCACAAAGTTTGTTCACTAGCCATAGTTTACATTTTCCAGGGATAGCTGACTGTGTCCCCCAATGGTTCTGGCCTATAGCTTCGCTCAGCTCTAGCCAACATAGCCAATAGTAAAGGACCACTGGAGTTCACGTCCATAAACCCCATTCCTCATTTTACCTAACAAAAAAACAAACAGAAGACCCACAGTCAAAATATGGTTTATGCAGATTTATTCTCTAACCACAATTTAAACCAACTGAGGTTCCCCCCAGTTTTCACCATAACTATGTGCTGTTGCTAATATAAGCCACATACTTGCTCAGAATTAGTGAAAACACTGTTTAGTGTTACATCTGAAATGATACCACTTCTTGCAACACAACCATGACACTGTGAAAGGTTACACAGTTTGAGAATTACTAATATGAAGTCTATGTCTGTACTTATGGATTTAATGCAGAAATAATATTTACATCTCATTCTTTCCCAATATTCACAACACCAGGTTCACTTCTATGTATTTCCTACATCTTGCAGTGAAAGGCATTGATAGCTTTGGATCTTTGCAGAAATGGAACCACTACGGGTGAGTAGCCTAGCAACATTCATAACAGACCACAACACTCTAACAGAAGATCAGCTGTGCCTTAGCAATACAGCTCATTATTTCTAAACATAACCCTGCTAGTAATTTTGGGCTTGGCAAGATCTTTGGTGCAACACACCACAATTTCTCATTCAACAGAATATTGTGGTTTTCTTTCTTTCTCTCTTGCTTTCCCTATGCTTGAAGGAATGGACGGCTGAAGAATGATGTGCTGGTAAATTTACTCTGGTTACAAGCCTGTACTCCCTTAGGCCGGGGTAAGTTGCACTGAGTTAGAGCAATGTGCTGTCAAGACAATTCTGACTTACGGCAACCCTTTCCAGGGTCTTCTAGATAGAAAATATACAAAAGTTGTTTGCTATTCTCTTTTTCTGGGGGCACCCTGGGATTGTGCAGCTTGCCCATGGTCACACAGGCTGGGTCTAGAGCAAATCAGCTGGCTGGATATTTAAGTGCTTTAGGTATCTGGCTGTGGAGCTAGAGGTTGGGAGTTTGAGGTCCCATGGTGCCTCTTATGAATAGAGCCAGTCTGTGTGGCCTAGGGCAAGCTGCACAGTTCCGGGATGCCCCCAGAAGAAGGGAAAAGTAAACCACTTCTGAGAATTCCCTATCTGGAATTAAATAGGTCCTTCCCCACAATATGTTTGGTAGTCTATGTCAAGAACATCTGGGAATGGGGTCTCCAGATGTTCTTGGACTGCAATTCCCACAAGCCTTCCTCACTTGCTGTGCTGGCCAGGATTTCTGGGAATTGCAGGCCAAGACCATCTGGATACCCATGTTTGAGAACCACTAGTTTATGTAACTCTCAGAAGATTCTCTTGGCATAAAATTGGCTCGTGAAGCTTTGCCCCCATTCCCATTTTAGACTCTGCTTCTGAAGCCTACATAAACAGAAGACCACACTACAGTATGACTTCAGGTTTCAATAGGATCTGCATATAATAACAATGGTGGTCAAGAATACACTGCATTAGATAATTTTCCTTGTACACCCTATAAGAACACAACCTGTGATAAAACAGAACGGCTTATCTGCTACATACTATGCAGTTCTTCCCTCTTTTTTCTCCTCTGCTTTGGGCAGTAAAATATACCTCATGCCCCCACCATAATCACATAAGGTGTTTCCCTACTCCACAAAATTGGCTGCCACAATGGGGTGAATGGTAACAAACTTAAGGGGAATCAGGATATGGGACATTTTGTACCATTGGGGAAATGGCAAACTCCACAAAGTTTCTGGATGAGAATAGTTATAGTGTATAATTATACCCAAAAATAAGCAGGAGAAAACCTTCCACAAATGATAACTGCATTAATCGTTTCTACAATATTTAGTGTTATTTTTGGACTCACTTTTCAGTTCCTCCACTATCCCTCTTTCTTTTCCTACCACGTACCCTGATTAAGAATTCTGGAGAAACTAAAATCTTGTTCATTTTTTTAGCATTTTGGTTAGTCATAATAAAGATGTTACCCAGCTCAGGAATTGTCATTGACTGACAGATTGAATGCCTTTATTCCCACAAAAGCCTGCAAAGCAATACCCCAAAGAAAAACAAACAATCAAAAACCACCACAAATTAAAAGACTGGAACAATTATTTTTAATTCAATATGAGGTCATCAAACTTGTCTAAGTTCCTCAAAAACAGACTACAATTAAAAACACATTTCTTTCAAGGCCAATGTTTTTCTCAGCTTGGCAACAGAGAGTGATCCTAATGATGTGAGAAGAATACTGAAGCTTTAGGGTATTATTGGCTCCCAAAGGATATCATACTTGAAGTTACCCAAAGCCAAATTGTGAGAAGTTACACAGATCTGTGCTCAGAAGCATAATTAGGCCAGTGCCAAGATCTGGTTTACCTGTGGATTGGCAGCCATGATAGTGTAATTCCCATCATCATCCAAGGTGGCAGTTGCGGTGTGGAGAGAGCAAGTCCCATCTGGTTCTCTTTGCATCCTGTAATGTTCACTCCTCTTAGAGATTTGCTTCCCGTCTTTGAACCAATAGATCTAGTTCCAAAAAACAAAACATAAGCAGTGAGGAAGGCAAGTGAAGCTCATCCTCTGAAAATGAAGTGTGAAGCAAATCCCATCTGAGACCATGTCACAATAATGCTAGGAATTAAAAAAAAAAAAGACAAAGCAAGAAAGTCAATACTAGGAGGATCTGGTCTTGAGTTTACTACCATAGTTCTGATCTACAGAAGAAAAAGGAACTCTCCTGCAAATCCCTCTTTCTTTTGTTACATGCTCGGACCAAATCTGCAGCCATTGGTCTTCATGCACCCAAGAATGAGTAGCTCCCCCATTTATTCATGGCACACTGTAGGCTGAGGGGACCAGTACGTGAGTGATCCCCTTCTGATGCAGCATAAATCTACTAAAGTGCTAAGTGCCGTGGTATTCTGTCATTAGATCCAAAGAATGAAGAGCAGAAGGAAAATAGCAAAAGGAAAATGCAACACACTTGTAGAGTACAAGTTACTGCACATTACATAGCAGCTCTAACATGTCTCCTTACACCAGTGGAAGAGCATAGTTGGAATTCAAAACTTTTTTTTTTAATATTGCTCTCCAGAAGCAAAATGTATCTTCCATAAACAAGATATTGTCTACATTTCAAAAGGGTTGGCCCTTTGGATCCAAGTGCATGATTTTGTAATAATTTCAGAAAGTGTGTGTCTGTATAAATCTAAGACCTACATTTAGAACAGAAAACAACTCTATGTCTTTTAAGCAGAATAACTGTTAACTCAGAAAAAGAATCCCATTCATTTAGTAATGCTATATATTTTGCTCTATGGCGCTTCAAACCTGAAACTAATGATTTTACTCTCAAAAATACATTTATCCTGTATTATTTTTGTTACACTTTAAAATTAAGAGCAGCTCCATGTTAGATGAGGCCTTATTTTTTAAAAAGTATATAAAATTTAAAAATAAGCACCAAAGAATAAACAGACATAGTTAAAGACGTAACAAAGGCTTATAGGTACATACAACAGAGGATTCATTAAAAAGATATAGAAATACATACATACATACATACATACATACATACATACATACATACATACATACATTTACACACATGCTGGCACATTAGTTCTACTGAATACAATCTGAATAGCTTAAAGGCCTGTTCCCACTGCTTGCAGAGGGATCCGTTTTTTTGGATTGACTATGTTGACCATATGTTTTGTATCCCTGTGTATCCTTTTGTTTGTGGAAGGCATTTGTTTGCATAATCTACAATATATAAGCAGGGTGTGGGGCCAGGGCAGGTTCAGCAAACACATACCAGTCCTGAAAAGAGAGCTCAGGTAATAATACAGAACCCAATGGTTGAAACCCAGGAACATTTTTATGAAACATCTGCTCATTAATCACAAAACTCTCCTGCTAGTCGTGTCCAGCTGGGCCAAAATAGAAAGGGCAATGGGCAGTTGGACTGAGCCAATGAAGAGCATTTCTAACTTGGCCTTCTCTGGCATAGCTTTTTCACTAGACGTTGCCCCCAGCCCAATTTATTTGAACTGAGAATAACATCTGCACCTTGGTTTATTAGTGTAGAATACACTTGTTGCTTATAAGTAGTTTGAAATGTTATCAATAACCATATGAAAAAAGAAATAGCTGCTTTCATTTACAAAGGACTGGGCCAGACACCAAAACAGAGTTTCCTCACTATATACAAAGTTACATTTGTTTAGCTTCTGGACTGACCCTAAGACTTACTGCTTTATGCAGTATAAATATACTTGCATAAGGATGTGGCTAACTCCTTCCAGCAACTCCACATCACAAGACATGATGTTATGCTTACACGGCTGGAGGATACAGCAGTGGCACACATGTTTATAATTGAGGCTGTTAATCATTGAGGGTAGAAAGTGCAGAAGGATTTTCCATAGTACCAAATGCAGGTGGTCCCCAATTTGTATGAACTGACTTGACAAATGAAGCAATCCCACACAGATTGACTTGCCTCTTTAAGTGAGTGAGTGAGTGAGTGAGTGAATGGATACGTGGGGTTACAAGGGTACATCTTAACCGGTTGTTTCAAAACTTCATGGATGAAGAGGCTGTGCTGACAAAACAGGAAGATCATGTGGTTGCTCATGGGGAGGTTGCAAATCAAACGGATTTTGAGGAAGTCGGACAACAGGAATGATTAAGATGATTTCTTCATCATCAAGGAAAAATCAATGTGAAGGAATATTACTGTATCATTACATTTTCAAGAAAAAGAATTGCAGAAATGATTCAAAGAAATCGTGACTCGAAACAACTGATTCTTCTAAGTTCTTCGCCTTTACCCATCTCTTATTTAGATCTACAGAATAAGAGTAGACTTTTAAACTCAATATCCATCAACTAGGAATATTTACTTCCAGGTAAGGGTCTCAAAGAATGAGAAAGGTTGCATGGTAATACAAAATAGAAGGAAAAACAATTAACTTCACGTGGTAGTCAGTTATGTATCTTTCCATAATACATGTATGTGCAGGATCGTACAGTACCTATGTTGCCAACAAAAGCCTTGTTAATGCATTCTCAAATTCTGACATAACTTTATATTTCAAACAAAACATTATGTTATAGTTTATAAACCTCTTGTTCTTAGCAAAGGTAGAACTGCAAAAATGAGTTTGAACCTGCACACTTTACAGATTTAATAGTATTACCTGACAGATGTTGCTTGTGTTAAGAGTCAGTAATTATTTTATTACACACTTATTTTATTACCAAATCAGACAGCTTGCCAAGAGAACAACCAGGGATAAATTGCATTGTAATGTACATGATTGGTATCCTAGTAACATGTTTATAAAGTAGTAAACTGCTTCCAGATATGGTCTTCTCCTTTTAATTCTATTGTGTAATGATTAATACCTAATGTCAATCCCTTCCCCTCTTGCCCCACAGCCATCATTTCTATATGATCAAATACTTTTCCTCCAGAAAGTTGCCATTATCCCATGTTACTGCCACGTGCAAATCAACCTGAAATATGGAGAAGAGAAAAGGGATTCTCCATGTAAATTTTAAGAAACTAAATGCAAAAATATCAAGTAAAAATTCCAAAGCTCAACTTGTTCAGCACTCAGATCTTTTCCTTTTCAGACCAACCTTCCTGTATGCATGAAAACAGATGCATGCAAATGTTAATATGACACCAAAACTTGAGACAGCCTTGCAAAACAGAACTTGCAAATTTAGCATCAAACCTGAACTTTCCAAAAGTTACGATTATTAAAAATTAGATATACTGTACTTTCTCACTTTTAAAAAGGTACAGTGGACCCTCTACTTACGGAATTAATCCGTATTGGAGTGGTGGCTGCAAGTCAAAAAGTCTGTAGGTCGAATCTCCATTGACCTACAATGCATTGAAAACCGATTAATCCCATAACTGGCAGTTTTTATTCTATTTTTGTTCCATTTTGGTTTTTTTCTGGTCTGTAAGTCGATTCTGCGGCTGCAAGTCGAATCTAAATTTTGCAGCCAGAGAAGTCTGTAACTCGAAAAGTCTGTAAGTCGAGCCGTCTGTAAGTCGAGGGTCCACTGTAAAGGTTCCCTTTGACAAATTGTCCAGTCGTGTCCGACTCTAGGGAGAAGTGCTCCTCCCCATTTCCAAGCTGTAGAGCCAGCATTTGTCCATAGTTCCCGTGGTCATGTGGCCAGCACAACTAGATACCGAACACTGTTACCTTCCCACCAAGGTGGTACCTATTTATTTACTCGCATTTACATGCTTTCGAGCTGCTAGGCTGGCAGGAGCTGGGACAAGCGAAGGAGCTCACTTCGTCCCATGGATTCGATCTTACGACTGCTGGTTTTCTGACCTTACAGCACAGAGGCTTCTGCGGTTTAACCCGCAGCGCCACCAAGTCCCTATTTTTCTACTTTTCCTTTTCTGACTTTTAGGAAACTACTAAAGACAGAACTTTATAAAGTGGCCTTCAATAACATATTCCCTGCTGTTGTGAACTTTTATTTTAAAAATTAGATAAATACTTTTAATAGTTGGATTTTTGAGTTTACACCTGCTTGAAACTTCACCATCTAAGCGAAATTCTGCTCATTCCTGCCACTGCAATATTTGTCGCCATCACCACTCCCAACCACATTTTGCTATAGGAAGCTAGAAACTGCAAAACTGAATCTGAACCTGTAAAAAAATGCCCTGAACTCTAGAAGTGGATGCAGGCTAGTGTAGGGAGCAATTGGCAAAAATGGACATCATCGCTGGATCATGTTGCTGTCCATGAGTAGAAGCACTCTTCCCATTCATAGGTGCTCAGCTAGGATTCAAGCCAATATCTAATCTATTACTCTGTGTTCTTTGTTTAGATTAGAAAGCATATTTCTTTGAAAGGTAATATAATGATTCTAGAAAAGTTTGCTTTTTGTCACAGATACCTCCGTGTTTTCCATTCCAAGTCCACAAGATCGTGTCAAAGAGTTATTTCTAGAGCTCTCAAAAGGAAACTAGGCAACACTCAGAAAAATACCCTTCTGTACTCATATAGAGCTTTGAAATTTTACTTTTTTTGTCCAGATCCTTCACAATTCCCAGCCTGCATGATCACATGAGATCCTGGAAGTTGTAGCTCAAAAAGGAACATCTGCAAGATTAGCTCTGTAGAGTTTGGATGACTTCCTGTAATTATTTCATAAATGCATAATTGTGGGGGAAAGAATGTTGCATCAGAACTGATTATTCATATGTTATCTAAAGCTAAATCTTAAGAACAAGATCTGACAAGAAATGGAAATGCTGTTCAGTGATCTGTTAGGAAGAACACTGTGCCAAAAAAACTATGTTGCTCTGTGACCTTAGGCTACCCAGGCCAATTCAACCACAAAAAGGAAGTTAACATCAGCATGATGATGTCATTTTTGTCAGCACTTCAAATAAAAATCTGAAGATACTTGTTGGTATCTATGTCACATTAAGGAGAATGGAGGGGAGATCTCTGCTGCTCCTGATGTTGTTGGACTCTAAGTCCCATTAGCCCCAAACTGCATGGCCAGTGGTCAGGAATGATTCAAGCTGTAGTTCAGCAACATCTGAAAGTTGAGGAAAGCCTCAAATAATCCAGTTATATGTGGTAGTGTGAACACAGTTACTCTGCTATGAGCTGAAAGCCTGATTTGGCAGACTGTGCAACTGATTCAGTGTAAACCACATAGAGAAGAACTATATAGCTTTAGTGTTAACAATGAAGAAATTGAAATTGTTAAGAGATTTTGTGTAGCCTGGTATAATCATCAATCCAAATGGAGACTTCAACTAAGAAATCAGAAGACTGAGATTTGGAAGGGCATCAATGAAAGAATTAGAAAACATAATCAAGTGTAAGGATGTGTCACTGGAGACAAAGACCAAGATAATCTACACTCGTGTATTTCCTGTCACCATGCATGGGTGCGAAAGCTGGACAGCTAAGAAAACTGATTTGTCTGAAATGTGATGCTGGAAGAAAGCTTTCTGGATACCCTGTACTGACAGAAAGATGAGCAAGTGGGTTCTAGATCAAATCTAGCCTGAACTATCTCTGGAGGAAAAAACATTGAAAACGAGACTCTCCTACTTTGGGGGCACATTAAAAGAAGGCAGGATTCTCTGGAAAAAAACAATAATGCTGGGAAAGGCAGCAGGAAAAGAAGAAGACCAAAATACAAGATGCACTGACTCCTTAAAAGAAGCCACAGGCTTGAATCACAAGATCTGAGCAGGGTTGTTGAGGACAGGACATTTTGGAGATCACTCATTCATACAGTCACCATGGGTTGGGGGTGACTTGATAGCACATAACAGTACAACAACAACAAACCCAGTAGGAAAGTGCAAGAAACAGATTTAATCAGGTAACAAAAGTGAGATTGAACTTGCAAATGTGAAATGGGGTTGGGCAACTGTGGACCTGTAGATGTTGTTGGGATGCAACTCCCACCAACAACAGCCAGCATAGCAAACGTGGAGTGATCATGGGAACTGCAGTCCAACAATACATGGAAGGTCACAGTTGCCAAGCCCTGATGAAGCAGAAAGTTCACAAGACTCTTCTGTGTACTTTCAAGCAGGTTTCTTTTTGCTTACCTTTGGGTTTGGATTTCCAGATACTCTGCATGTAAAGGTGACGGGCATCCCTTCAAATATCTTGTAATGTTTCAGTTTTGTCTCAAAGTATGGTGCCACACTATTATCAGGGGCATCTTCTCCATGCTCAACTTCATCATCCGACTCTTCTACAGGAGATCTCTCCAGCCGAAATTCAATCTCACCGATGAGTCTCTGCTCAAAGCTGGAGACCTTATATTCCTAACAGACAAGGAAAACACAAGTCAGTCCCCAATTTTATGCACCCAGAAGTTTGATGGGGTTATAATTAATGCCATTCTTCAGATCTGATTGTTTGTACAACGTGTTTACAAAATGGGGTTACAGTTACACATATAGTGCAGGAAAATGCATTATACGAAACAAAACATAAAACTGTCTGTCCTGTGTAAATTTATTCTGAAACTGGACACACAAAGTAAGATACTAAGACTGTATTCCAAATGTTTTCTCCCACATACCTAACCACTTTCCTTTCTGAGTTCTCTGGTATGTTTTATTGAGAACACAAAGAAGCAATGAAGTAACCTTATGATTGACTGGAGTGTGGAAACTTTGGGTGGCCAGATGTCTTGCAGTACAGCAGCTCCCACAGTCCCTTACCACTAGCCATGCTGGATGAACCTTCTGAGAACTGGTCCAAAACATCTGAAAGGAAGGCACAGGCCCCACTACTCTGGTTCAAATAAGTGGGGAAGTGATCATCATTAAAGTCCAACCCACTATTGAAGAGTTACCACCATCTTACAGTTGGAAAACACAGATATGGAAAAACGTGCTGCTGGAGCTACAGATGACTACGTTTCCAGTTGTGAATCGGTTCCTGCTTTGACAAGAAGTAACTAAAATACTTCATAAATGTAACAAAGAATTTAAGATTTTAAAAGTATGTAGGAAACAGAAGACAAAGGAAACGTGTTGTTTTGCCTGTCCCAACTCTATTGAAGCAAAGAGCTGTGCTGTGATTCATAATTTAAGAGCATTTAAGGGGCTTCATCTGATGTAAGGGACGGTCCGAATCAAACAAATAATTTAGCTTCACATCTTTGTCTTCACACAGCAAACAGGTCTTCTCTATGGGAGAAATTCTCTATCCATAGGAACACCGGAACAGCACCGCGAAGCTTTCGAAACATTACAAATGTTAAAGAATTGTGCACAACATCGAAAGAAAAGGTCAGTGGTTAATTTCTGGAAATAAACTTTGAAAATGAGAAAAACAACAACAACAGACAGACAAGGAGTCAAGGGATTGCAAACCAGGGAAGAAGAAGAAAAATAAAACCTTTTGAACATCCTCAGGAGTCACTACAGAGGCATCAACAGAGCCAGTTCCCTGTAAAGGTACAGAAGAAGATGGGACACTGGAAGTAAGTGGCATAGGAGTTCTCTGCTCATCTTAGAGCATGCTTTTTGTCAGAATTTGCAACATATGCAGATGACTGCTGAATAATGATCGTAATAGAAAACAGAAATGGCTTTCTTGGTGTAAAAAAAATCCTTGTGTTACTTCTGGACCTGAATTACCCATAGAAAAAGCAAAGGATCTCAGGATACAAAGACTTAATCCTGACATTGTAAAGGATCAGTAAAAGAGAATGAACTAGACTGGAAGAAGATATAAAGATTGCTTTTCATCTTACTCTTTGGAAAATAACACACTGAATTCTACATTCAAGTTACTTTTAATAATTATGCATCACTTTGTTAAATCATCCATATAACTCTCTTCTCTTGCATGGGTTAAATTCTGATACTAATTTTTGCACATTAACGTTTGAGAGCAATAATGCACCCGTCTATCTAAGTAATTATAACTGGTCCAACTCAAACAGCTCTCCAATAGTACATACAGTCTGAACTCTACAGAAAACCTCCTGTTAGCTAATTTAACTGAAGAGCCTATATCCATGTTTCCTGTTATGGTTATCTTTATATTTCCTATCCCAGGCTCAGAATTTCCTTGGAATTTTGAAAGAACCAAGACTCTTGTGACACCTTAAAGAATAATTTTATTTAGCATAAGCTTTTGTGGACCACAATCCACTTCTTCTCCATATGAAGAAGTGTCTGTAATCCATAAAAACCTAGGTCAAATAAAACTTTTTGTCAAATGGGCCAATGGACCCTTTGGTGTTTTTGCTGCTTTGGACAGCAAAAACACAGCTGCCTCCTGGGGGAAAGATCTGGTGGATTTCTGTTATCACTTGTGTCAAAATAAGGTAGGAAAACTTTGGCTGTGAAGATGTCATGAATTATAACTTTAATCACCTTTCACCACCATGTATGACAGTGGGGCTTATAGGAATTAAAATAAAGAAATCTCATGAGAGCCAACAACACCCCAGTTTTTAAAGCTGATTATGCCCCCACCCATGTCATTGCACTATTGTCATTTTTTAACCATGGAATTATATAAACTATTCCTTCCTGGGCAGAGAAGCCATGACAGGGAAGCCCCAGAATGAAAGATGGGGTAAATTTTTATACTCTAGGACTTTGTACCAGTACGGTCAATACTGAGCACATCCCTAAGCATCTGGCCATTACATCTGGTCGAAGAGTAATGTGATTTGCAGCTTCCATTTCAATACCTCTTCTCACCTGCACTCAAACACAGGTGTTCCAAGTAATGATGAGCAGCTCAAAAGACTTATGAGTGGGGAAGGAAAGCTGCCCACAGAAAGCCAAATACTGTACCTGTACTTCTATGTCTTCCATATTCAGCTATGTCCTATTAGTTTGTAAAGTTCTGCATTAAAAATATATAAATAAAAGGCCAGAGAGCTGGCCCAGTTATTAGATAGCATGAGGTGATTCTGTGTGTCACTGAGTGGAAGCAAATCAATTTGTTTTTCTATCTGATATTACAATATAATTACGAGGATGCAAAGAGTTGTTTGGGGGAGTGTGTGTTGTATACCAATTTAATTTGGTTCTCTCTCTCTCTCTCTCTGTTTGGCTTTTATACCACCTCATTAGTGCAAGTGCAACTATGTATGTTGACGTGGCAGAAGGGTATGGGCACTAGTTGCTACTCTATCTCAGGCAGCAAAATGTCTCGGGCCAATTCAGATAAATGGATGGACAGACAGAAAGACATTAATATCTGATAATATATTTAAAAAAGTGGCACAATGCTATTATCACACACAGCTGAGGCAGGCCTTCTTATTTCCCTTTGGCTCCACCCAAGAATCCAAGGGTTGAGAAGAAAAGCAAAAAGCACCTCTCCTTCAGCAGAAGCCAATTCTGAGCCAGAAATCCAGTCAGGCATGATTTTTTGCTTTTCTGTATTTAAAAATTAGTGTCTTTCTCAGCTCTTAAAAAGCAAACCAACCAAAAGGTGGGTGAGGAAAACACTCAGGGAAAGGAAATGGCTATTTTATTATGCAAGTGGAAAGCAAAGCAGCAGCACCTGTCCAGTCAATTCTTCTTCTGGTTCTTGAATATTAAAGACGGTCGCAGCACTGTCAGCACCTAGAAGTCGACGTGCCATCTTCTCCTCATATGTTAACTTCTAAATAAAAAGGAAGAAACAGACATTCACATGATTTACTGATGCAAAAAATAGATAACACACCAAAGAACATTGAGCTTTCATGGCCAAATTCAACATTAAAGGTAACAAATTAGCTGTTGGGCAAATTTTCCCCCAGTAATTTGCTACTTTAAAAAATAATAACGGAGAGAGCAAGTACTGTAAAGCAAATATCACCCTCAAATCCTTGAAGCAAACATACATTTAGAGTGAGGAAGAGCAACTAGTCCCTGTGTTTCTGCATGAAATGCTGGCCTGAGTTAATCCCAATATCGAATTCAGAATTTGGAATGTTATTTTTTTAGATATCAGACCAAAACAAAACAAAAATAAAGAATTTAAAAAGACAAAAATACTGTGGCACGTTAAAGACCAATTGCTATATTTTAATGTAAGCTTTCGAGGACAAGCCCACTTCCTCAAAAATATAAATATAAACAAACAAATGGCAATTTATTAAGCATTACTTCATTTTAAAGCAGCATGTATGTGTTACTTAATTTAAGAGTAATGCAATATCAATGTTACCAGCACGACTAATCTTTTGAGTATTTAATTATTTATTAAAATAACACTTATCAAAAACAGAAATATGGCCAACCATCCCCTACCTTATCCCAAAAGGATTGTTCTTGAAGTACCTGGTACATGCTATGTGATGATACAATAAATAATGGCACTGCTACTAACCATTAATTCTCAAAAGGAACACCATTATGCCCCTTGTTACCACCCCTTATACAGTAAAGTGTTGTGGATGAATTATTACTTGTAACATTTTACTTCCAAGCTCTGTTGGTTTTTCTTCCTCTCTCTTAATCTTAGAGTTGAACATGATCACAAAGCCACTCAGGAATACGAGGACAATTAAAAATGAATGCAAGATGCTGATCTTCATTTAAGCTTACGTAGCCCTTGGCCTTTTATCTCAGCCAGAGAGAATTAGGAATAGGTTGTGCATCTTTCTGCACATTAGATATGGGCAACGCTCCTAACAAGACAAAGGGACAAAAGCCTCATTACTATGATTTAACAACTGTGACTGGAAGGCATCTTGTTCCATAACGAAGATGAAAATTCACTTGCCCAGAGGGTAACTGCAATTCCCAACCTCAACAGCCCTCAGCAAGCCCAGCCTTTCCACAAGGCAGAGGAAGACAAATGCAGCCACTCCTTTTGAACCTCTTCTCCAGTTGTTCAGAGAAGCAAACAGTGTCGTCTACATGCTGTGAACTAGTCTATCTCCATCAGGTGTGGTGGAGTACCCTGAGATTCAACAGCAAGCCAAGCTGATTTCTCTGCATGGCATGGAGGAGGAAGCTTTCTCATCCTTTGCCTCAGGCAGCACAGTGTGTTGTGCTGCCCCTGCCTCTCTGTGTCCCATTTAAAGCCATTTCAGAGGGTCCCTCAGTTAAAGTAAGCAGCACAGTGTGTTGTGCTGCCCCTGCCTCACTGTGTCCCAAGAGGGTCCCTCAGTTAAAGTAAAAGGACTGCAGATGTGTATGTGAACTGGCTTAAAGAGAAGAATCTATGGGGCCAAGTGTATCTTGAGGCGGAAGTGTTTTTCCTTCATATTTCAGACAGATTTGAACACAATGCGATATACAACTGGCAGCCTCACAGCTGGAATCTAATCAATAATTTATGTTTGGATAAATGGTCTCATATAAGACAAAGGAGCTCATTGATGCTAACTAATAAAATGGAGTGTTTCTGGACACACATGTAATCAGACGCATGCCCAGGAATGCAACCATCTCCACATTAACTGGGGACAATTAGCTGCCATGACTTACACAATTTCGCTTGTACAAGCATACACTGCCAACTGGACTCCGGCCAGAAGGATTTCAGTTCTATATTGCATTGTGTTCAGTGTGAATTGAAGGACTGTGGTTTCTTTCCAAACCTACAGAGCAAGAAAACAGAGCACTGCTCTTAAGTATCATGGCTGATGCACTCCTTGTATCTTGCAATTACATACTGGTTGGCCATTGTTCAACAGATCTTCCTTGAAACGAAGCTTTCTTTCCAGGTCCTGGATGACAGCATCTTTTGTGCCCTGAATTTCTTCGTCAGATGCAATCCTGGCAGTTCTGCCTGTTTTCTTTGGAAATCCCCTACAAAGAAATCACAGATTGTTTACACACACAGGGCATGCTACCCATAGAATGAGTAGTCATTTAGAGAAGGCAGCCTTTTAAATGCCAGTCTTAACATGTTATTCGTATCACTATTAAGTAATATTAAGTAGTATTCCTCGAAGTATTGCATAGTGGGTAATTAATGTATATAAACCCCTACCACATAAGGTAATATTGAATACTAACTCAGATGGAGCATAACTCAGACAGAAACAAATTTCATTAACAAGACAATTTATTGATAAGAAACAAGAGAGGAGAATGCTGCTGTCCTGGGTACCAGCTATTTCTTCCTCTTCTTTTTCTAGAGGACAATGCCCCCATATTGTTTTTACTTTTGCATAACTAGGGGTTTCTCCAAGCTACATGGTACCTCTCCTCTTTTGTGTGGATGGTGCCACTCTGGTTACATTAATAACATAAAGCTTGAACAACAGAAAGAAGATATGGTGCAAGGGGATGATTTATAAAAATTCCTGCATTCCTACTAATTTATTTATTTATTTACAAGATTTTTTTAGCTGCACCATTACCAATGGGCTCTGAGTGGCGTATAACAATATTAAAACGTTAGAAGAACATTAAAACCATTAAAAATACCCAACATTATAATAATACCGGTGGCGTACAACAATATTAAAACTTTAGAAGAACATTAAAACCATCAAAAATACCCAATATTCTAATAATACCCTATATTAAAAGTCAATTTATCATTAATAAATCCTGCTGCTCACTTTCATACTCATTGGCTGAAATCTTGAAATCTGGGGATTCAGTAAGACAACTCTTCTGCAGGTTCTATTAATGGGCCTATTCTAGCTGTGATTTACTATGTTAAGCAGCAGGATTTCTACCACTGATCCAGAGAAAGCCTTCATATCCATTAAAATAGTAATTCTGCTTAGAGATGGGGATATTTGTACTCATCCTTCTGCCTGGAGTGGCCAGCCGAGCAGGAAGACAGTGGAGCTCTGGGTGCGATTGGTGAGCAGAGTGGGACATTCGCGGTGCTGGGCCATATGAGTGGATGGTCCAATCCTGGGGGCCAGACCCTCATTAGGTCCAGATGAGACAGGGATACCATATTTTACTGTGTATACAACCCCCAATGTATAAAATGACCCCCTAATTTTGACCTGATGGAGGCGGAGGAGCAAATAGGCAAAATTGCTCCTCCACCTCCATTTCCTGCTGCTGCTCTCTCTGCTGCCCACCCAATTACCTCCTCCAGTGTGACTGCTGGGGCTCACCTCCAGCTCACGTCGCTGCCTGTTCCCTGCCCTAAGGAGACCGTGGGAGGAGGTGATCTGGCGGCGGCAGCAGGAAGAGGCTCCCGAGTGCGCGTGAGTGCTTGTTTGCCTCTGCCTCTGCCTCCTCCTGCCTCCACCACTGAAGGGGAAAAGGTGGAGATGTGAGCTGAGCCTGTCAGTCCCAGTGGAGGTGCTGATCGAGCAGGTGGGGAAGGCAGGCGCAAGAGGCGCCCAAGTGCATGTGACGGCTCCTTCGCCTCTGCCTACTGCTGCTGCTGCTTCAGGGCCCCCAGAGGGGACAAGCCATGAGCTCTGGAAGAGGCAATTGGGCAGCAGCGATGGCAGCAAGAGGCACCCAAGCACGTGCAGAACTGCTTCCTTCCATGTATAAAACGACACTCAATTTTTCCTCTAATTATTTTAGGAAAAATGTTGTTTTATACATTTACGAATATGAATATGCCCATTTCTAATACTGATTTCAAAATCCATGTAGATTTAGTGTGAGCAACACTTACTACAATGCACCAAAAGAATGTATTAAGAGTCCTTTGCAAAGTTTCAACTCATTGCAAGTAGATAGTGCTAACCACAGTTTAGTTTCATGTAAAAACTGGCATATCAATCCTTTTTTCTGCATTGAGTTTTAAAGCGTTCATTGCATTTATTACAACTGACAAAATGTGGAAACTACACAAGATATTATATTGCGTTTGTCAAGTCCACATTTAAAATTGAATTGTAAGATTTTAGTTTGTGATTATCTGATACCCCATAAGAATAGCCATAGAATGACACTAATTTTAATTGCTGATGCAACTTTCCTTCTGCTGATTTGTTATACAACTGTGACTATGTCCCACTGGGTAACCACCTTAAGTAACTGAAGGTAACAGAATGATGTACAGTATTATTCTTTAAAATATTTTCCTGGGAAAAGGAGAGAGGCAGTGACATAGTATTTATAATTGTGCTTTGATAACTTGTACATTTTTTGGTTAGGATTTTTTATATGTTACGTCTTTCTTGTTAAAGATACAATTATTTTGCTTTATTTAATGTACATACATTTGGAGTTCAAAACATTACAATCAAGATAGATTAGACAAGTTTGTGGAGAACAGGGCTATTGACGCTGACAGTCCCTGACAGCAAAATAAATGGAAGATAGTATATTTGCTTGCTCATGGACCTTCCAAGGGTGTATTTTTGGTCATGGCAGGACACAGCATGCAGATCAAGATGGGCCTTCATTACATAGTACAGCTCTTTTTCTTATTCTAAATGGTATCCAATACAGCCATTGTGGATGCATGAGTAGGAGTTGTGCAATTTTCTCTCCCTCCTGAAGTCCTCATATTCCCTAAAAACCTGCTTCACAGGATCGGCCTCCCTACAGGAACAGGGTTTTTGAAGAGGGTCAAAACCTCTGAATCTACAATGTTGGATTTCAGCCTGTGTATCTAAATTAACTTCACAAATTCTTCCCATACTTTTTTATCAACAACAAAAAGGAAAAATAGGTAATTTAGTGTTTTAAAATATTTTATAAGCAAAGAAATCAGATTTCCACCCTTTGAACAACCCACCAAATTTACTGCTGCATATTTTAGTCGCATCTCAACAGAAATCACAGAGATGTTGGAAACTGCAAAGCTTCATGGCGCCTGGTGGATGTAATCCAAAACTTATCAAAACTAATAAATAAGCCCATTAAAAAATAAACTTATATTAACTTCAAACAACCAGGAGGCTCTTTCCAAACATGGCACAAGGGGATTCTTCATAACTATATGCACAGGCCTCTAGCCAGGCTGATAAGCCAAAAGCAGAAAATATGCTGGCTTCTGTCCTACTAAAGGATTCTGATTAAATAAATTGTGCCCTTCCTTCTCCCTAATGCCCTTGTCACTTGAAAGAAGAAGAAAAAAACTGTTTTTTTTCTTGCAGCTACATCAATAACTTGGAGATAGAAGCAGATAAAAAACATATGGAAAATAACCTCTTCCAGATGTAATCACTTATCAAGATAGAAGAGGTCACTCACTCTGGCTACTGAACTGGCCTTAACAGTGCTTCTGTTCCCCTGATGTCATATTTCTATTCAACAGTGCCTCAGGAATACTACACAGCCCATCTGGATTATAAAGAGGTTTTGGGATATCTGAAGAAAAGCTTGCTTCTGTCCTTCATAATGTTGGGTAAATTATGTTAAACATAGAGTAACATGTCAGGCGAAAAATAAGAGTTTAGGAAGATTGCAGAGAAGATTCTGCAAATGGAAAACGAAATTATATCAGAGTTTGAAACTGTCATGCTAACTATGGAACTTTGGGAGTTGCAGTACAAACAGTATTATTTCCTAAGCTCTGTACTA